ATGCAGAGAGCTCAATGTGTGCTCAAAGAAAATCTGGGGGCCAGACTAACAAAACCCTAGCCAGAAGAACGAAACTGAACTGGTGCTTGCCTTTGTTAAGAAACTGTGATCAGATAAAAAAAGATTGAGTGAGACATATCTTAAAAGTAATGAAGCCTTGCGACCGCACAGACAGGACACTTTTCAGGCAGATAGGAAAGATTATCTGGTTTCAAAAGTTGTTGATCTTGTTGATCGTGAAAAAGGTTGTTGTCCATTTTGTCCAATAAATAAAATGATTACCCGTCATAATGTAGCACTTTGAGCATTATAACATTATGCTAATTTGAGAACTGCTATTTGGTTTATTTAGACAAATTTTGTTTAGTTTTCTTAAAATTAAAGGGCCTCTCCAGCCAAATTTTGCACTTGCATTTTATTGGCTAATCTAAAGGAGTTGAACCTGCTAATCACGATATCGCTATTTGTTTCTCAATATTTTTTACAGTTTATGAGATATAAGCTCTTGCATTTCGATAATTGAATTGAATTAACCGACAAAAAGTTTTCAGTTTGGTGACACTGTGACGCAATTTTGACGTCACAGTGTATTTCGTTAGTCTCACCTCAAACAGAATCGAACAACGGCGATTCGCAAATTGAACACTGCAAGTGATGGTAATCTCGGTTCTGAAGTGTCAATTTAGATTAATTTTACGCAAGGGAAGAGCTGGAACAGGAAGCCGTAGCTTTGTGGGCCTACACAGGTGATCAAAACAAAGTCGTGACACAGCATGGACACATTCTGACCCGCAAACTTAGAATGATTGCAAACATTTAATACTTTTCAATCCTAAAAGGCTCCTGCTGTAGATTTAGATGCAGTTATCAACGCGTGACCATGACTCCTTCACGATTCGGTGGAAGATATACGAAATTCATGACGAACGAGAGCCGTGCACTGTGACGTCAGAATGTCACAAAACTGATTCGGCTTTTGTCGTTTTTTTCTCCGAAAGGTGCAACTTTAAAGCCTTATAACTTCTGAACTAATTTGAATTTTGCAAAAATAACGACTTTGCCATAATACACGCCCCAGATGCTAACTTTTTAGTCAATAAAAAAATTTTTTTTTTTGGCTGGAGAGGCCCTTTAACATACAATGTGGTAGTGACATAACTTGCTTTGAAGCAGCTTTTACAATTTTATTTGAACTTGAAGCCCGAAAAATTGTGTAATGTCAACTAGATAAAATTGACAAAGAAATGGTTAATTATTTCATCGTCTGTTAACTTGCAGTTCTTGTATAAAGCCGTTTTTTTTTCTTTTATGTTCAGTTTTTAGTAATTTTACAGGTAATGATTAGTTTGAAGTTGAAGCAAGATTGTAGTAACATGTTACTGGAAGTCGTCAAACTGCAATAACAATTTCCCTATATGACCCCAATTTCCCTATTTGACCCCAATTTCTCTATTTGACCCCGTTTCCTATTTGACCCCGAGCGCTGCCAACGCTGCTCAATAGATTTTCACTATTCAAATAATTTGAAAAACTTTACATCTTGCAATCAGAATGGAACCCTTAAATGTCAATAAAAAACTAGTTGATTCGATCTTGGAAGAAACTCGTTTAGACAAGGGGCTAGATGTCTCAAAAAATTGAAGACCAAGAGAAATCAGTCAAGTTTGTCTCTATCTTCAAGTGAAACCGGGAAAAGGCCTTTGGTAAAATGCAAGATAATTTCGGCATTGTTTTTATTGGTAGTGTTACAGCAAAGATGATTAGGTGATTCACGTCAATTGGTGAGATATGGGAGGGGTTCAGTATTCTTTGATTATACACAAGGTGGAAGGAAGATGACCTAGCAAAAAAGAGCAAAATTCTGGGCAGCAAAAAGGGATGACATATCTCCTAACATCACCGGGTTGTTACTTTTTCTAAGGAGCATCAACCATTGCAGCTGTTGAACAAGCTTGAGCATTTGAATTTGCAACGCTTATTTCCCAATGTTTCCATTGCATTAAGGTTGTTTCTGACTTTGCTTGCTAGTGTTGTCCAAAGAAACTGAAATTGTCCAAAGAAACTGAAATTAACAAAAATTTTAGTATAGCTCAATAATTAACCCTGTTACAGATGTAAAGACTTGGAAATTGTTTTGTTAACTAACTAGATAATTACCTAAAGCTACTAGATCTGTTTGACAAACATACTGGGGTTTTAATACTGTTGCTGCTTCTAACTCATTTCATTTAAAGGTCTTTTTCTATTATTGACAAGTTTTGATAATGGAGACCCTGAATTGCTAAGATATTATCTATGAGCCCCTAAAGTTATGGGCCCCCCGGTCAGTGACCCTCCTGACCCCCCTCTCCTCAGCATACAAGGGGGGAAGGGGTGTAATGGGTATTTAGTACATATGCTTAAGAAATTCCTAAACAGGAAATTTGAGCCTTGCAAGCTTGCTCATTCATTGTTCATATGGTAGAGATCATAATGGGAAGTTTGTTGCATATTTTCATCCTTCCTAAAATCTGCTTCGATGTGCTTCACATGGTTACATAAAAAACTACTGCATTAACATTATCATAACAAGGAATGGTCAATATGGACAAATCCTTGAATTTCCCTGGAAACTCTCAATTATTTGCATTATACCTTGAAATGGGGGAGAGAGGGGGGGAGATAAAAGCATATGCAGTGTATGCAAGAATGGGGGTATAAAAAAGCGTACGTACAAGGGGGAGGGGGGGTCAAAAAGTTGCTCTCAATATGGTACATACTTTATGGATGACCCCTGACTTCATTTCATTATCATAAAAAAGTAATTCATCAATTTTTGGAGGTTTTGCAGCAGATCTATGAAAAAGCAAGATGGCCATTAGCTCCTGCTACCCTAATGACTGCCTTGTTTATGCCTCTATGCTACAGTTACAAATAAATTTACAAACTATGATGCCAGTACAAAAGCATGCGAAATATGTTCAGGCATTAAACATGCGCTTAATAACTGCAGACTTGTCCGAAAGATATTTAATAACATCATCTGGACAAATGGATTCTAGGAGATCCCTTTCGCAACCCATTAACATGAATGCCTAGAGTTTCTCTTTTCCAAGAGTCAACCGTAAGCATGTTTTAACTTGATTCAGCTTACTAAAAACCCTTTCACAGCTAGCTTGGGTGAATGAAAGGGGAGAAGGTATTCATAAGCCAAGAAGATGTTGGAGAATGCCCATTTAAGAAAAATCTGTACAGCATTCTGTAACAGCAAACAAAGCGCTTGTCATGTCAAACCAACAATTTGCAGGAAACTCGATTGTCAAAAATACCCTTCTCCATTTCATCTACTGTCAGTTCATGATCGAAAATTCCCTATTCGTCATTTTCTTCCAAAATGCTCTCCATGGCCTGAATATTTTGGAAGTCCTGTTGCAGCGTTTTGCTCAGATTCTTGAATACTGAGATGAATGAAGCAAGCTCTGCAGTTTAAGAAACGGCAGTAGTAACTAATGATGCAACCTTTCCAAGCCTTTTACTGGTATGTCGGTTTTGGAAAGCTCTGCAAATCGATTTGGGTCAAAACAAGCAGTGTCTCTTATCAATTCTGAATTTATGGAAAAGCGCTCTGTGATACTCATCGATATCTGGTCAATAACACGTCTGAAAACTCCTGCACAAAATTTCTGTATGATGTCATCTGGCGTTTTATCCTGTATCTCCTCACCGGGCATGGTCTTCCTCCTTGCCACTCTTCGCTTCTGAAACTCTGTCTTCTGAAAGACGAAAACCCACCCTCGAAATTTTCCCACCGTTTTCAAATTTTATTAGATCCCAGTCTTACCGCGTGAGTGTATTCGCCATTTTCATCACATAAAATTAGTAATAATGGTCAATTGTCTTTGGCAAATCATGTTTGAAATTACTTTGGGCTGTTGCTGAAATTTTTCACTTTTATTAAATCAATTTTGATTCCAGAGGACAAAGATACATTTATTGAGTTCGAGGGTGAATATGAAAGCCTTTGTGCAGTTGTGATAATTACATGGGTGATCACGGCCGAATCTAAAGCGGAACAGTGAGTGCATCCATGACGGGATTATGAACCCTTACTGGATTTAAGGTAAGTATATAATTGATTTTGTCTAAATGTGAAATGTTTAAAGCACTTTAGGTGGGGAGAGGTTAAAGTGCCACTGAACTACTTTTGCCTAAAATTTCTCTATCGGACTTTAAGGTTTAATTATGGGGATTGAACATCGGTGAATCGATTGCCGTTATTAATTTTTGATTTTGCTGGAGGAAAATGCCTGGTTTGGGGGTAGTTTTACCCCATGGTCTTGCGAAAAAGGCCTGGGGCGAGTGACGCATTCTGATTAATACGATCATAACAACACTTGGAAACCTAGTGTTGTTGGTAGGGTTAGAGCAGAACGCAGATTAATTTGAGAAAGAACATTATGTCTGAAACGGATAATTCAGAGACATCCTTTGCAATGATAAGTGACGAAGAGTCTTCCCTTGTTGGTGAAGAAATAGCAGAAGGATTGGTTGACGTGTCCACCAGTCGTCAAGTGAGGAAGAACTGGCCAATCACGAGCCGGACATTGATGGAATTCCACTGGAAACACTAGAGGCTAGATTCGAGAGGATAATGCCAGTAGATGAATGGTAGGTGCATCGATTTGACGATTTAATACTAATAATTTGGAGTTGATCTGCGACTGATGGAAAGCGCTGCAAATTAGGCCATAGGCCTACTGCTCAAGAATAAATTGGTTTTGATATGAAATTGTGTTTGAGAGACGCTATTACGAGCTATTTTGTCCAAAGACACACAAAGCAATTAAAAAGGAGCTTTAAACGATGCTATTAATATGTTGATTCCACTGCTTGCAGTTTGGATTTTGGTCTTATTTTATTGTACGGCTAGGCTAGGCCATTGTTCTCCGGTATTTTGAAAATGGTGTTTCAGAGTGACTGAGTACAAAGTTTTAAAACTGTAAATATTTTAAAAGAAGAAAGCTCAGTAAAAGGTCTTAGAAGATTGAAAAAATTAAAACACATTCAAAGAGTAGAACTTTTGTTATAATTTCCAAGGATATAGTACTCCAACACATATTATTATTGTTATGATTATATGTATAAATATTATAATAGTCAATTGTAATGTCAACTTCAATTAGACAGTTGCAAATATTGATTGTCTAGAATTTGCACAAAAGAAATGTCACATTGAAATGATACTCTAATTAATAGTTACATTGAAACTCATTGTAAATGGATTTACATCTTTTTTGTAGATTTTTAAGAGCTGTTGCGTATAGATGGCTGATTCGTTGGATGTTTGGCTTTCTGGGGTATGACAACACCAGACCTCTTCCGGCTTGTATTTATAAATCTGTCAGGGAAGAATTCCCAACAGGAGCCAAAAAAGGTTACAAGTCCACACAACAAAGGGAACCCGAAAACTGAGAAATGCTGTTGATCCAACGACAAACATCAGGAGCTTGGTGTCAAGGTTATTTCATAACAGAACAGAACAAGATTATTTCATAGACAGAGGGAACCAAAATTTTAAGAATTTATAAAACAGTTAATGGGATGCTAACCTTTGTACTTTTGTTGTGGATCCAAATTTTTACTGGTACAGTGTAAAAGAGCTCTAAGGTAAGCCTGTGTATAAAATGTAAAGTGTAGGTACATTATCTCTCCTATGTTCCACATTTAGGAAATTCTAGCGACTAAGCCGAAACATAAGAGAGCCTCACCCTATTGTGCAGCTGAACAAAATTAAACAAAATAAACTAATAATTTTATTTTGAAGGTGGATTGTTACATGTATGTCCTTTTGGTGGCTGTCCACATTTTTTTACAATGACGGACAGAAGGACTTTTCTTTTTTGTTGCTTTAACACTTTTTTGTTGAATCTTGCATTGTTTGCTGTTCTGCCAGAATATCCTGCTCTTCAGCTAAAATGTGACCAAGTTGTTATCACCAACGTTTGCAACAGGAAATCATAGTATATGAACACAAACATAAACCTCTTAAGTGATAAGAAATGATGACATATTTTGTGGATTGCAATAGTTTTAAGCAATGAATAATTGAAATGCAACATAAAAATACCCAGAGATTGAAAAATACCTGGAATAATGATACAGTTTCCTAGGATTACAAGTATATACTTGATATATCTGGAAGTGCTCAGATTCATATCAAATATACTTTATTTCATAATATATGGTCATTCTTTAATTGAAACTTTATTTGGAAGAAAGGAATATTGAGATTACCTGAAGGAAATAAGGTTGTAATTGCTCGTTGTCTTGTATCCCATGTATTAATGGCTTCTTGCCTTGTTGCCCTGTCCTGGAACTGACTTGTAAGTGTATCAGGAATCAGTTCTGCCTCTCTCTCCATCACAGAACTCATTCTGTCTTTGGGCATGGAAAAAAGCAACTGTCTGAGGTCACTGACATAGCCTGTAAAAAAGGGAGGTAAAGTTTTAAGCTTGATTCAAAAGTTACTTCAAAGTATTCAGAGTAGTATAATTCTGGAAAGTATAATTCAGAATTTTTATGTAATTTAGATCTCACCGTATGTGGGGTTGACAGCTACTTGGCGAACAACTTCATCACCAAGTTTGTATTTTGGGTAGGACACATGCAGGGATTTTTGTCCTGTTATTGTTGTTCGTCTTTCCCGTTGAATATTCTCATTGAAGTGGAGAACAGCAAGTATTGTCCTTGAAAAAGTTGAGAAAACAATATAAAATAACATAAACACAAAACTAAGGTGGGCCTATAATGGAAATGAACACAACATTTTAATGACTTTCAAAAATAATCAAATAATCTGTGAGCCTTCAGGGATACCGAATTTCACTATGTAATACAGAGAGAATTATTTAATGAAATAGTTTCAAACAGAACTGTGAAAAAGACAAAAACCTGCATTTCGATCCCACAAATGAAAAGCACAACATTTTTGGGTGCCAGTGGTTGAGCAGTGAATGATAGCCTTCCAAGCAACTTGTCTGCAAATCGGGAGAAAGTTTCTTGATATCATTCACAAACCTTTTGTTCATTAAAATTGAGTCCAGCTTGTCATATGCTGGTGTTCATGAAATTTAACTGTAGATTATAAGTAACACAGAACAGTGGTACTGTACATTGCTAGGGTTCTAATAGGAAAATATAGTGATGGCACAAAACTGAAATGTTACCTTTGCTGCTGTAATTATTCATTTCATTATTCACAATGACTCTAATGTGTATTGTATTTTCAATAGTTCATCAAATAAGGGACATCACCATTTGTGTTTTGGCCTGAAAGATGAACGCAAGGTCTGAAAAATAGAAAAAGCAAAAAATATCTACCTATTTTAATCCACCTCCTTCGCTCCAAATCCTGATGCTTACATTTAGGGAAAAGGGGGTTGTCATGGCCATCATGCTTGTCTGCAACATGTCTCATAATAGATGTCCATTTGGCATATATTAGCGCTCCAAACCCTTGCCGTGTTGATAAAATACACCAGTACAAATGCCTCCTGATACCCTTGATCCAATGCTGCAATCTCCCTAAACCTTTTTCTTTTGCAGCTTGAGCAATCTTTCTACAAATGGACCTTGCCACATGCCAAATGTCGTAAAAGTGCCGGGTTCTTGTCTGGTGGTCCTTTATCCATTTAGCTATCCCAGTATGGCGGTCTGACACAAACACTGAAACATCAATGTTTTCTTTTTGAAGCCTTTCGAAGCACTTCTTGGCCCCAAGCAACTCCATGGCATTGCTGGTCCCTGCCTCATTTGCCTGTGGACAAAAATAAAAATTGAAAATTATCCACAATTTGTTACAGAAGCTATATAAACATCTGATTAAATTTTCACCTTGATATGTGTTTAAACACCAAAAACCAGTAACAAACCTGCAGAAGTTCAAAATGAACAATCTTGGAGTTGGACGAGCAATACATGGAATATATGCCATATTTTGCATTGTGACCCATGGAATCAAATCTGCCATCTCCGCTCCAGATAAGATGCTTCATTGGTCTGAGGGCTGCTAACATGTTTTCTCTATAATTGTCCCAGTAACTCAGAATGGTTGGGAACAAAAACTTTTTCTGATGCTTGAAAAGAGTTCGTGCAGTATAGCAGCATACACCCATGTGTCGCAAAATAAGCAGAACTTTGCTGATGGATGCACCTGCAGCAAGGGTGGCAAAGCTTAGTAAAATATTACCAGCGGGAATCTGCCCTAGGACTAACGGCTGGCTGCTCCATGTGAAGGCCCCTTTGCATTTCTTACAGGCTTGAATGACCTTTACCATTGTTTCGTACTTTATGTCTTCAAGAGCTGGTTTCTTTTCGCCACATTTAAAACAGAACAAAGAGAATAGTGCAACCAACATTGACTGGAATACAATGAATTTGGGCTCATCTTGGATAGGGACATTCTCATCAATGCTGTAGAAAAAATGTGACTATAATTAGCTAACTGGATCAAAATGATGGAGTGCTTGACAATTATAGCTTTCAGTGGTGGGAATGTAATTCTACTTTGAGTTTCATTCTATTCTTAACCAGGTTAGGACATGGTTAAAGGGGCTTTATCACCAAACTGTAAACAAATTTGTAAACACCATGTGTCCATTGTTTTCCATTTTTTAAAGGAATTTAAACTGACTTTAGCATTGGCAGAGCAAATAAAAACAAAGGGCTCAATGTAAACCATTGGAAATTTTGGTTTCAAAATGTTCCCAAATCGAAATCTTGGTACTGTAAATTTCTTACTCAGTTTTTCTTAAAAAAAATACTTACTTGATTGCATTTCTTGTTCTCTTCCTATGAGCCTTTCCAACTTTTTCTGGGGACTCTGGATCAGAAGATCCTTTTTCATCATTATCAGCATCACTGCCACTGGAATCTAAATTTGCCTTATATTCTATAACATCGTACATGACACCTTCATCTCCACTTTCATCTTCAAATTCTTCAAAGCAACTTTTATTTTCAGTAGCATCTCCGTAATCATCATCAGAGCTTGGTAGCTGAAATTTTTATATAACTGGAAATTAATCCCTGCTTTCAGGAGCCCCACGGTAAACAATAATTATACAATCATCAGGAATATCATTTTTAAACAACCAGTGCTGCTCGTTCTTTGGGAAGATGTGCATCGATACCCCTGGCGTGTAATTATTATTCATACAGCTGGTATCGTTTGGTGCCCCAGCAACACAATATCTTCCTTTCCCGCCTCTAAATTTCTTCTTGGTTACCTCCATGTTCGCGATTTTCTCGTATACTAACTATGTGTTAGTGCCTGTGTGTTCTTATGTATAAATCACATTACGTCACACTTTCCTCAAATTCCTCTTTGGCCGCGCATTTTTTTTCGCACAAAGCGTCACGCAACTCGACACTTTAGAGCTTAAAATAACATTGTTATAGAAACAATATGCAGGAAATAATTACACCATTCGATTCAGCAGCTTTTATTTGATCATTCTCATTAGAAAACACCCATTGTCAAAATTCTCACGAAAGTAGTTCAATTGCACTTTAAAACGTAATTTACCTGAATCTTGACACGAAATTTAGCGATCATTTGCAAGGTGTTTTTTTATTATTCTTTGCGATCAAACAGTGGCGCCAATATAGGTTAAATAGCAACGCATGATGATGAACTGGACAAAAAATAGGGGGGAAATTCGCTCTGTAGAGGTGTGCAATGTTTTTTGTAGACAATGTTGTAAAAACACGATGAAATGGCGAAAATGGGCTTAATTCTAGCTCCGAAGCGATTTTGTTGTGAGAATCCTGTGCGCTGATTGGCTTAGAACATGGTAGCGAACAGAGCTCTCAGCCAATCAAAGATTTGGCCGCTATGCTGTTGCTGCTAGGTTTAGTGTATATGCATAACACCAAATGAAGACAGAATTTGGGGAGATATCTTTGACAAATTTCTGGACACCTTTGTGTTCACCCCGCATATTCGCTGCTCAGTCAAATGACTCACCAATGACGTTTCTCATTTGTAGACCATGTGCTTGAGTGGTCGACTCTAGTAATTCGAACAGCTCTTCTCCTTTTGATCTACTTACTTCACCCACTGCTAAGAGTCTTTCTTTCATCTCTTCCTTGTGGACATATCTCACAATTATAGTGGCTTGATCGATGGTTGATGTGTCTCTGCTACCCTTGATGTGTCTCTTAGTTTAACCATTCAAACAGAATTTCTCTCATTTGTTTGCTTTTTTCATACTCATTTGTCTGGTATAGCAGATTTGATGGTTGCAACGTTCGGTTGATCAACATCGGAAGCTGCATAGTGAGCCACAAATTGCTACGAAACTACATGTACCATTTTCTTTTTGGGAGGTATGTCAAAAATTATAATTATTCCTACTTTTTAACTAGTTTTGTTAACCTTTTGTAAATGAAGAGTGGAGAAAATGTATTTAAAGTTTATGAGGACCATTCACATTTTTTGCATATTCTATGCATATGCATTTGGTTTGTAGTTCTATTTCCTCTTTGTCATTTGCAACCTTAGTGAGCAAAATGAGCCAATGCACACATTTTTCACCATGACAAAAGAGGTAGCGATTGACTGTGGGCTTTCCCCGTTGCTTTCCCTCTTAACATATAAAAAATTCTGAGCTGCATGGTATAGTTACCTGGATTTACCTGGATCATTTTCGGAAAGATTTAGCTGTTCTAAATGCAGAAGTAAACCAACAATGACTGTTTTTGATGCCACTACCTTGTCATTCCGCAAGCAAGCGACTCACTTATTAACAGAGGATGTGAATAATTGAAGCATCAAACCTATAAAGAAAACAAGGTATGAATATACCATAGATTGATACTTATGTTTTAATTACCACTTATAGTAGTGTTGTGAGAGTTTACCATCTGTTTTTCGAATACTAAATGAAATAATTCAAACCCTGTGGAATCGGTAATTGGGAAAGGATTTTAGCTACGAACAACATTACAAAATAGTTGAGAAAATTCAAAGAGATTTGCCTTGCTAAAACTTATAAACCAGTCAATCTGTCAGCAAACCAGCCCATAACCAATTAGTCAATCTATTTTATTCTTTTAAGATATACAATCTTAAAATATTTAGCTTCTCTGCATTTATTTTTTTTACCATGTTCAAAACAGGTGTACAAGTTTGCTATTTTTTCGGGATCTTCTCTCGCATGATATGGTTGTAGCATATACATACAATCACAATTAGGTGATGCTCACGTTTTCAAGTGAAATCTTTGCATTGAAGATTTTTTTGCCACTGGTGAACAGTTAATATAACACATATTAATTTGTTTGCAGCCATTTCAAGGATCGCATTTTTATAAGTTACCAGGAGTTGCGTAGTTTGTTGAAGAGATTTGCCTCAAAATCTGGAAAGAGAACAAGGTTTTAGATCTACATGAACACAAGAGTCTTCTCACCTTACTGCAAGAACATTCGCCCGAGCTACATGACCTTCTAGTTTCTTTTCAAAGAGACACTGTAACTGAGGACCATAGTTATGGAGACTTCCTCGCCAACAAGGAAAGGTTAATACCCTCTTTGTATAAGTGTCTGCGTATTTGGTCCCAACTTATCAGCTCCTTGGCAAGTCCCAGTCCTGTTTGTGGTTTACTGCATCCTAATGAAAGCCTTCTTAACCTGCTGAACCATTTTTTGATACAACATGCATCACTACAACAGAACCAATTGACATTGGGCAACTCGTGGTATTCAAAGAAAAGTGTCCAGTTCTTTTCAATTTGTTTATGTCTTCTGAAAATAATAAAACATCCAATATGATGAAACCTGTTTTGATCAAAATGATGCAAAAAGCAGTAAAGCCATTTCAGACCATAGTAGAATGAGAATCATTGAATATTACACAAGACAGTTCTCCAAAGACTTTGTACTTTTATTGGCCAGCATTGCTGCAACTTAGACGGAAAGGATTCTATGAAACAGACAAAAGAAAAAGCAAGACAAGGTTTAAACAATATGTTAACTAAACTATTTAGAAAAAGGAAATGAAAATTGAAAATATTTATGCAAATATGATTGGTAAGTTATATCTTTTCAGGTTGCCCTTAATCAAGATCAATGAACAAACAAATGCTTGTCTTAAAAGAATTAAGCCCCAATTGTCGTACATATCATCTCACAATTTCATGAAGCATTGCTCATTCTTCTTATGGTTTAGAAACGAGCTCAGTGGCGTAACGCAGTTTAGGTGACCTTAGTTCGAGAACCAAGGGCCCCCGACCAAAAAGGGCCCCCCATCAAATTTTTCGTATTGTATGATTTTTGACCATGTTGACAAGGTTTTCTAAAGCCATCCCAAAAGTTCTTACTAAACAGTTCTTGCTAACGCAACACTGGATTCATTCATTCTGTTTTGTTTTGTTTATTCGCTATAAGTTGTCTCAATACTTTATTTCTGAAACATAATCACCGAAATGACCAATATTTTCCGAAGCTGTATAATAACTTTCTAATAACATAGTCATAACAGAAATACTTGACATCATCTTAACGGCTCCTTTTCAACCATTAATGTATCTGCTCTTATGTAATTTATATCACCAAGTGAACGTTGCAGTAGGTATATTGAATCTTTATTCTCAATAAGGTATCATTTCATAATATTTTTTTTTTTAAAAAAATTTTCACCATGATACTGTGGACACTACAATGACATCTGTCCTTTCATCATCATTAGAACCTAGAACGAACGAGAGTGAGAAAAAGCAAGAGATCAGTTGTAATGAGAGGCAAGAGTGTTTCCAAGATAAAGAAGAGCCGATCACTTACTTAGATCAAGATGAAGAAACAGAAACGAGTAGCCTTAATGAGCACGAGCCTGAAGTATTTGCTTTGTCTAGAGAAAACCCAACGGATCGGGGACGTTACAAGGAAGACATAAAGAACGCAGCGTTGAAAAAGAACATTATTCAAGACCCTGTAGACCTTGTGGTCATTTAGAATCAGTAGATATTAATGGAAGTGCTACAACCAACTTCAGTGCAAGCTATTACAATAAAAGGCATCAAAACATGTCTTTGCCAAGGCATTGGCTACGTTATTTAATGGTACTAAGAATGCCGTACTGTGAAGTTTGCTGGTTGTTTGCTGATCGCTCTACGCCAAATTATGATATGCAAAAGAGATGGATAAATGGAGTTCAAGGATCGTTACACAATATGCTTGATAAAAAAAAGAGGCATGAAAATTCAAACATGCACTTACACGTGTCTCAGGTGCGCAACTAGAGGGGGGGGGGTACTGGGGGTCCAGACCCCTGCCCTTTTTCTCAAAAGGGGAAAAGTGCCCTTTTTTCTTGGAAAAATGCTTGAATATTTTGATTATTACGCTAAAATGGTTGGTCATACAGTAAATAACACACTCCTGATGTGTAATGGACCTCGCAGGAATACAGATAAATTATTTAGTCAATTTTTCACATACTTGTTGGGTCAAACGTCATCATGTTGCAGTAATAGAGTATATCTTCAAGCCCCAAATCTACAGCGTGTTTTATGATGCGCCACGCACTGGCTTTGAAGAAGAATGGTTCTGGGACTCAAAAACCAAAATAAAGGCACAAGATTTTGAATGGGATAGAGCCTCTACGACCTCTGGTAAGAAGTTACAATAAAGAAACCAAGACATTTTTCAAGCCTGTCACATAGTTGACAGGGTCATAGAAGACCTTTGCATGAAATGAGCGAATGCAGAGAAATATTTTCGGACTGGTATTAGCAAGCAGTAAAGATGGCACAAAAAGTTGATGTTCAGCTGTTCTGTTCCTTGTCAGTATTACAAATCAGCTGAAAGCAAGACTTGGAGACAGAAACCAGCTGAAGGCAAGGCTCGTGGAACTGTTCAACCTCCTCCCACTGTAGTGCGAAGCAAAGAATTCAATAATAATATTTCAAAGAGCAAAATGTCTTCGGATATCAAAGATGATAGGCTGCTATTCAAAAGTGAGCTGGCGCTGGGAAAAGGAGATGACGGCAGGGTCGCCTAGAGGGGGACAAAGGGGCAAACTGCCCTAGGGCCTCGAGGTCCAGGGAGCCTCACAGAGCAATGAATTCCGTTTTTAAATGGAATTTATTAAAAGTAACAAAATTACAAATAAAAAGTAAAACATCTTAAACGAATTAGTGAATTTAAGCTATTTGCAAGGGTGTGGTGGCAAAATTTTTGCTCGCTTTCCTCGCAAGAGGCATTGTTTTTTCCATTTCCCCCCTCCCTCGGGCCTCCTAAACTTCTCCGCGGCACTGTACAGCAGACAGAAAGAAGTCATGTGCATAGTTAAAATTAAAAGGAAAAAATAAATCACACCTCACCACAATATAAACCGTACACCACAACTTTTCTCTATTGATCAGTTTCCCCTGTCTGGCGTACAATATTTACAGATTTACCAACTGCTCATATTTTTGCCGTACCTAAACAAATGCCCCGGTGGACCTTTAATGAAATTTAATTAGTGCCCTTTTTGTGTCTTGGACCCCTGCCCTCTAAAATTTCTAGTTGCGCGCCTGTGTCTGCTGCCTACATGAGATGGAAAGTTGGCAAAGATTTCAGTGAGGAGAATGAAAATGAGATTGGGAGACAAGTGTTGTTTTGGGCCAAGGTTCTTCAAAGGCTTATTTAAATGATCCTGACAATGGCAACTTTGATGTTGGCATTCAGAGGACACATAGAGCAGGTTCATGATAATGTGTGTTAAGGTGGGAACTTCTTGGCATTGGTCTCTCTTATGGCTGAATTTCTAGCAGTAGTCATATCTCTTCCAGGTAGAGCAACAAATACCTTAGCGCTCAGATCCAAAATAAGCTAATTCACTTGCTTGCAAATACTGTATCCTCGACTTTGGTAGAAAATCTTAATTCCGCACCATTCTGGAGAATAATCTTGGATTCCACCAGTGATATTACGATTCCACCAGTCGACCAATTAAGCATTGTTATCAGGTGGGCAAAGGTAACACAATGAATGCACAATTGTAGAAAGCTTTATGGGTTTTGTGAAAATATATAACGCCAATGCTTATGGAATAGCAAATACAGCTAAAAAATTTTTGGAAAATCTTGGCATAGATTTCTCAAAAATAAGAGGTCAGGGCTATGATGGTGCGAGTGTGATGAGTGGAATTCATAGTGGCGTACAAAAATTGATAAAAGATATTGTTAATTTTCCCGTTTCTTTTGTGCATTGTGGTTGCCATAATCTAAACTTGGTAGTAAACGATGCGGCAACATCACACGTTATTCATACATTCCATAAGTTTTTAACGTGAACTAGATACATAGCAAGGTATATTTCACACATTCCATAAGTTTTTAACGTGAACTAGATACATAGCAAGGTATATCTTGTTACCAGAGTATGTAACATACTCCATGGACTATTCCTAAACGTTACTATATATAATAATAACTTTTCAAAATTACTTTAGATCCAGAAGTTGGTTGAAATGTTGACTTTGTTGAAGCAATTATCTAAGATGATTTTTTGAAAAATGTCTCCAGCAGTTTTCTTGCTAGGGCGTGGTAAAGTTGTTGCTGTAAGGCTTAAGTATGGGAACATATTTCTATATTGAAACTCTTTCTCTGTTATAAAAGCAAATGTCTTGTAACTTGTCTTGTAAACTGAAAGCCTCTTCTGTTCTAGCTTTTGCAAATTTTATCTGTCATTACTTTCAAGGATGTTTGACTTATTGCCCTATGAAAGATATAAGGGTTCAGTACTGGAAGATTTTATTTCCTTCCCTACTCCACAAATATGACAAATGGTGTAGCAGTACTTGATATTCCGGAAGTATCATTTAAAATTATATGTCATCATTGTAAGGGAGTTTCCATATATCACTTGCAAAACTGCCTAAGGCCTAAGAATAGAAATCTGGGCATTTTATGACCAAGAATTTTTGAAACCACACTTATTGCAGCCCATTGAAATTTTGACATATGATTGTATTAGCTTAACTTGTACCTGCTGCCAAATTTTTTGTCATTCTGCTCAAGGGTTTTCTTCTTATTGGCCTCCTCGAGAAATATGACGGAGATCTCCCTTGCAATTGCATCCTGTATCTTTCTTCAACATAGTGGCTTATTTGTCCTTACGCTAAGAGAGTTCCAAGCAACTTCCATCTTTATTTCGTAAGGCTTCAGTACTGACAACCAGGGCCATCGAGAGGCGGCCTGGGCCCTGGGGCAAAGTCCTGGTTGGGGCCCTAGAGTCGGATAAAAAATTTTTTCGAGACCATGCCCTTTATAAAATGGGAAAGGCCTATTATTTCCAAACGTTTGCGCACGTTTGCTTTTTCAGTTTCCAATTGATCAATGATATTGTTCTAATCAATTTGTCTTGCTAGTTCGTGCTCGATCGAAAGAGTCACGAGGCTTGATAGTCTGTCTTGAGTCATTGTTGAACGTAAGCGGTTCTTTATTAATGCTAGTTTGCTGAAAGGGGCCCCAAAAATATAATAAAGCTTTATGCAACGATTCTAAATGCAAACATAACTCACTTGAACGGGTCATAGATTAAAACAAGATTATATGGGTTACCTAATTTTTTATCAGGGCTCCCTTCCCCCAATAAGTAGGATTTTGTGAAACTCAGGGAAACTCAGCTTAAAAGATGAAACGGTAAAATATGTGATCTAAGGTTTATTCAGCTTTTCTCGGGGCCCAGACTCAATAAATAAAGCTGATAGGCCTTAAATTCAAACAAGACTCAGTGTACAGACTCAATGAAATTACTGCGATCATTTTCGATATTAATAAATATATCTTTAAATGCATTTTCAGTTTCTCAAAAGAAGACATTTTAAGAAAATTTTCAGAATAATTTAGGGGCCCCTTTCAGACCGAGGCCCTGGGGCAAATTGCCCCCCCCCCTGCCCCCCCCCCTCTCTGCGCCACTGCTGACAACCCTTACCGCTTATGACGTCATAACTCCTTATCCCTAGCACCAAAGTGGATAATGCTTTTCCATATCCTTTCAAATGCTGGTTTTCAGGTATTTGCCAAATTTCATGCTCCTATCTACTATGGTTTGTGCTTAGTATAACTTTGAACTCTACAAGGCTTCAGTACTGAAGCCCTCAAAGTTCATTACGTCATAGGTCCCCGCCCACACAATGGATTTTGAAAATTTTTCCACCAGTTTTTTTGTAATGGATCTCTCTATATATTGACCAATTTTCAGTTTTGTAGCTCTTATATTTTCAGATTTACTGATATACATATCAATGGCAGCCATTATGGCAATTTACAGCCGCCCTTATGGTGATTTAAAAAAGTCATTAGGAGCATCAAAGTTTTACAACAGTTTTTCGCTTATAACTTCTTTCATATGCGTCAAAATGTCATACGCGTCAATCCCTTTTGTGCATTCATGGAAAAGTCATTTACTGTATAAAGTCCTCTTTAGCATAAATTTCGTTGTCATTTCTCGTACTCGCTTCTAGCAGACGGTCGTGACTCTTCAGCGGTTACAGTAAGTAATTTTTTCGTCGGTTCTTAGTCTTATATATATCTTTATTATTTATAATCATATTAACGTGCTTATATCAACATTCTGTAGGATATATTTCTTTTTTTTAATATTTTTGCATATTGAAACTTCATGTTTCTATTCATTTTTCAGTTCTTTATTGACATTACTTCTTGTTCCTCTCTACTCACAAGGAACCTTTCCATTATCCAATTCTTCTTATTTACTGCATGATTTTTTATGTCTTCTATCTTTTCACGCTTATTTATGCATTAAAACATTACATATTTGCTTTTTATTCCTTTTCCAATGTCCTAAATTTACTAGCATTTCTCTATATTTCAATTTTCCTATATCCTTTCTAGACTTGGTAAACATCTGAACTTCTATTTCAACATTTGCAAACAAGGTAAGTGCCAGTACCATAATGCCTTTACCTTGGAATATAGATGTTGCACGTACTTATTGGTCTGAAAGACGCTTTTATATCCTGAACAATAGTCCAAATGCATCTGTTAGAATTAGCAATTATCTTCAATCGAGGCAAAACCGTGTCAATCAATCAGAAACCGAATTAACTACATGGTCTCAGTTGAATCTTCCTCATAACACTTCTAATAGCTCTCTTGTTGTATCCTCTTTGGAACGGTGGTGTAAAACGTTGTCCTGGACTAAATGCGAAACTTGCAACAGTGTTAACTCTGAGACTCTGATGCCACGACGACAAATATGTTGTCCCCCTTATCCAGCAAATACCTATAGAAGTGAGACATTTAAACACTACACAAATTAAAGCCTTGAGGCCATTTGATATTGATTCAGGAACATATAAGCGAATGAGGGATGGATACCGAAAAAAACTGGTATCCTTCGTTTATCCTGCTCTAAACAGTCAGTTGAGCAAAAAATTTTAAACCTCGATTCCGAGGATGACAGACAGATGTGCAGTGTGGCACTAGTATATTTGCTATATAATTCTTCTTCCTAGTATAAACATTTTTATGACAGGAGAGAACAACTTGTTAATTCTCGTCAAGAGCCATCTCTGTTTGATGTATATAGGTGGTATGGTATCGAATGTGCACTCTGGCCAAACTTGTATCCCTTCACCTCCTGGTGCGACAACATTCATGATGGCTGTTCAGACAGGCGAAGATGTAAAGTATCTTTTTTAACCAAATGCTCTTCCTCTATTATTGATCTATTATTTGATTTGGCTGTACAAAACTGGTGCCATTCACGCTTCTCGTAATAATTCTCAAGAGACAGTCTCTGCATTTCAAGCACTGCAAGATTGCTCTGTTCTCACATCCATCCTTACACGACAATACAGGATTTGTGACGATCTGCTACTTAACTTTCTTCAGCACATACGCTTTCATATTCCTACTCAGGACATGATCCGGTCACTTTGCCATAGTCAAGTATTATTTGATAGCATTCCGTCCACTCATGATTTGCACAATAAATTGAAAAATTATCCTGACTCTCTCGTCTTCACAGTCACACGGCAAACTGCAGCCTACATTAATGACGTCATTCTGAAACATATCTTCACAAACCATCCCCTTGCTTTAGTTGTTGCAGATGATGAGAGTTTACTTCCAGTGCATAAAGACATGAAACTTATGATCACTCGTAATGTCAATAAGTCCATTGGCTTTGTCAATGGACAGTTTGTTACAGTGACAGCCATCTCATCCAAAACAATTATTGCCACTCACCCCAATGGTCACATCATCAACATATTCCCTATGACAAGCATCATCAACGACACTCAAACAACAAAATACCCTGTTCTCCCAGGCTACGCAACCAGGATATCTAAAGTCCAAAGGCAGACATTAAGTAAAGTTATTTTTATGGCTTGATACTGACAGCACTCCCGAAGGAACAGCATATGTTGCATTGTCCACAGTTAAATCGTTGACAGATCTCCTTTTTTTCATTAGTTTATCACAAAACCAGTTCTGCCCTATTGCCAATTAATTTTTTTTTATTTTCTAGATGGCTTACATTCATGCAAAGAAGCTTAAGGGAGTTGGCTACTTCCAACACTTTCCAAAGAAATTTTTAAAGCCCTACGGACGTGCGGAAGGTTTCCCAGCTGATGCAATTGCACTCTCAAGACTTCGCCCAGAAGGATGTGAGTGGCTAAGAAGACCACAACTATTACTGAAAATATTCCCTTGCTGCAGGAGGACGGTCTTCTCTTAGACAAAGATAAATTCAGCTCCTTTCTCTCAAACATACAATCACTTGCCCTCACTTTTCAAAATTTTCACAAAGACTCTCTCACAAGCCCTTCTGACCTTTACAAACGTTCCCTTCTCTTGAATCTACTAAATCTCTCTCCAGACCTTACCTCCCAGCTCAACTCGTGCATCGAGATAGGTGCAGCTCTCTTTTCCATTGGCCTTAATATACGTCCTCCACCTCCTCCTACGGCTCCACCTCCTCCTACTGCTCCACCTCCTCCTCCGGCTCCACCTCCTTCTACAGCTCCACCTCCTTCTACAGCTCCTAGTGCTCCTGGATCTTCACTGGCTTCTGCACTGTCTCTGCCATCTCTACCTTTATCGACTCCTGCAGCTGCACCGCCTCCTGCACAGAAGAAACGAAAACGGCAGGTCATTGCAGACGATGATGATGAAATTCCTGGCAGTAACAGTTCCTCCAAAACATCGTCTACAAAGAAGAAGCAAAAAACTTTGTAGACATTAAATACACCTTTCTCCGACTTTTACATTACTTTGCATAAAATATACACTTAAAAAATGTTTCCTCTCTTCGCCTCTCTTCTTCAAGTACAAAAAAACAGGGGTTGGGAGGGTGGGTATAAAATGATGCAAATAGAGTCTCTGGTCATGAGTGAAAACTTTTTTGCTACTTTTCGAGATATCTTCAGTTTTTTTGGCTCTTCCTTGAATAGATGGAGATATCTTGGAATCAAAGCTGGGAAAGGATCACTGACACTAAAAAAGTTATGTACGACACGTTGGAGCTCTCGCATTGATGCAGTGCGAGCTGTGCGTGACAAGTATCCCCAGATAATGAGGCTTCTGATGCGACTCATCTTAACATCAAACAACAAGAATGAGCGTGACAACGCAAAGAGTCTTAAGAAAAACATTTTCACACAGGAATTTATTATTTTCCTTGTATTCGTGGAGAGAATACTAAGATCAGTCAATGCAGTATCAAAGGAGCTTCAGTCCCCCAGGATTGACTTGTCAGTTGCCTCTAGACACCTTAATATTGCACTCTCGGAGGTCGAATATCTTTGAGAATCATGGCAGTCTATAATGCTGACTGCCACAGCACTTGCAAATCTTGGGATGGATCGCTAGAGTTTCAACAAAAGAGGGGTCGGACGGCAAGGTATGAATCAGATGAACTTGTTGTAGATGGAAGACTGGTGGATCCTGAGCAAAGTTTTAAGATAAACGTTTTCTACAAGACTGTTGATACAGCATTGATGCAACTGACAGAAAGGTTCAAAGGACAAGCAATGGTGACGTCATTATTCAGCTGTCTCTACCCTAACAACCTGGTAACACTGAGTCCTGACATGCTTCAAAATGCAGTACGAGTAATTCGTGAGAAATATCCAAATGACTTTACAGATGAATTAGATTCTGAGATGAGATCATTTGCAACTGAATTCAGAAAGGAGATTGCAGTCAAGAAAATTGTTCTAGAAGTTAATAACCACATGCTCCAGAGCCATATTAGTTCATCCTTTCCAGAAATATACAAGCTATTAACACTTTTCGTCATTTTGCCAGTAACTGATGCATCGGCAGAAAGATCATTTTCAAAGTTGAAACTGATAAAGACATATCTAAGATCTACGATGACACAGGAGAGACTGGACGACCCATCCCGACCAGTCATCCCAAAGTAATTCTTCTTCCATGTATTTCCAAATGATGCATTATCATATACGTCATCATTGACAAATGATTGACGCAGAAATATTTTACTCTAAAGCAGTGCAATTATCATATGCCCAAAGATATGATGCATTTAAGAGAGTTAGCATCCAAAAAGAAGTTGACTAGCCTTAGCAGTCTATTTTTGTTACTAGAAAAGGTTTTTAACCCAATTCTTTGTCTAAGTTTCTATGGCTTGTTTACTCTGAAAAGTGCCTGTATTTTTAGTAATTGCATTGGTCAACTTGCGTTAATAATTCTTTTCTATGATAAGTCTTCTGCCCTTAAATTTGTATCAATAATTTGAATGTCCACAAAACTACACTTCTTTCTATAAAATTCCACATGTTAAACCATTACAAAACCAAGCACGATGTGCCACACACATTTTGTTTTGATCTTTGTGTTATTTTTCCCTGCATTACCCAATTTTCAATTACTAGTGTTGCAATATTGTATCTTGAATCAAAAAACCA